TGTTTGTTTGTTTTTGTTTTTTTAATTATTGGATACTTTATTTATCTGCATTTTAGATCTCATCCCCTTTCCCCATCACCCCCAAATCCCTTATCCCATCCCCCCTCCTCTTATTTCTATGAGGGTATGCACCCACCCATTCACCCACTCCCACCTCCCTGCTCTCTAATTCCCCCTCCAAGGGACCAAGGCCTTCTTCTCCCACTGATGCCTGACAAGTCCATCCTCTACTACATATTCAGCTGAAGCTATGGGTCCCTCCATGTGTGCTCCCAGGCTAGTTGTTTAGATCCTGGGAGCTCTGGTAGGTTGATATTGTTTCTCTCCCCATGGAGCTGCAAGTCCCTTCAACTCCTTCAGTCTTCTCTCTGACTCTTCCATTGGGAACTGTCGGGAGCCACCCTGCTTATACACTAAAGGCCTAAAATCAGCAATAGGCCTGACATACATGACTGCTCGAGCCAAGTCTTGGGTCTCTGTAGAAAAACACTGAAACAGATAGCTGGGAGTTATTGTAAACAGACAGCTTTGGTGGAAGGCTGCCAAGCCTAGTCATAAGGCCTTGTAGGTGGGTAACCTTGGTGGATAGTACCAACTTAGATAAAGACAAGTGAATCATAGGCGGAGTCATAGTGTCCTGTCCCCTGAACCTTCACCCAGCTTACACCCTGTTCTGGAACATATCTGTACTCCCCCTGAACAATCTGTATTCCCCCTGAACACCCACATTCCTGCATCATCCCCTTCCCCACATCCTGCCCTTTTGTGTATATAACCTGTGTGTGCAAAATAAAGATTTCAATCTGATCAGACTATAGACAGGTCATCTTTCCTTCGCGTTCGCCTGTTCCCCATCTTCTCTTTCAGGTGATCTCCCCAGACCCCTGTTTAATGTCCTGCTGGACAGGACAGGGAACCCCATAATCGGTTCAATGGTTAGCTGTGAGCATCTGCCTCTGTATATGCCAAGCTCTGGCTGTGCCTTTCAGGAGACAGGTATGTTAGGTTCCTGTCAGCATGCTCTTCTGGACATCCACAACAGTGTTTTGTATATGGTGATTGCACCTGGGATGTATTCCCAGGTGGGACCGTCTCTGGACGGTTCCTCCTCCAGTCTCTGCCCCACACATTGTCTCCGTATTTGCTCCGGTGAGTATTTTGTTACTCCTTCTAAGAAGGACTTAAGTGCCCATACTTTGATCTTTCTTTTTCTTGTGCTTCCTGTGGTCTGTGAGTTGTATCTTGGGTATTGTGAGATTTTGGGCTAATATCCAATTACCAATGAGTGCATACCATGTGTATTCTTTTGTGATTAGGTTACTCCACTCAGGATGATATTTTCTAGTTTCATCCATTTTCCTAATAATTTCATGAATTCATTGTTTTTAATAGCTAAGTAATACTCCATTGTGTAAATGTACCAAATTTTCTGTATCTATTTCTCTGTTGAAGGATATCTGGGTTCTTTCCATCTTTTGGCTATTATAAATAAGGCTGCTATGAACATAGTGGAGCATGTATCCTTGTTATATGTTGGAACATCTTTTGAGTATATGCCCAGGAATCTAACCTAGTTTTCTGTCACCTGATGCTTTGAATCTTTTCCACATTTTCCCTATTTTACTCAATAGCTCTTGATTTCATGACGGTGCTTAGCCTTCCAAGGTAAAAGCTACTTTATCTGTGATGATAATTGTAAGTACTAATATTTACTCATCTGTTGCTGTGATAAAACCCCATGAGCAAGGCAACTCATAGAAAGATGAGTTTATTTGGGCTATGGTTTTAGAAGAACAGCAGTGAGTCCAGCACAGCAGAAAGGCATAGCAGAAAGCAACAGGCATGGTAACTGGAAAAAAATTGAGAACTCACACCTTCACTGCAAGTACAAAACAGACCTTGTGGACAGGAAGTGGGTAAGGCTTTTTACTCTCAGAACTCAACTCTGGCGACGTACTTCCTCCAGCAAGGCTACACTTTCTAACCCTCTTCAAAACAGTGCCACCCACTAGGGGTCAAAAATTCAAATATCTGCGCCTGTGAGAGGCATTGTCATTTAAATGACTACATGAGTGATATAATATTGTCTCCATGTCCTTTTCACATTAACACATAATTATGACAGTGTTAAAGTGCTGATACTACCAAAGTATTTTCAATATAGGAACACTTGCCTTGCTATGTCTGCATCGAAAGATCTTAGATATGTATGTTGATTCGCTTACTTTATATACTACTCCATATACTAAAGCCATTGTATTACTAAGGAATTATGACCTCTTAATAGGCTGCAAATATCATATCCCCTTTCAACAGCTGTGAACTGTCAAACTGCAGTAATTTATTAAGTCATGATTTTTCTATGTAATGGAATACTTAATCGTCAAGGACAGTGACTGGATTACCATAGGTGTAGCCTATCAGTAACTTCCCAGACTGATGGAAATTTCATGTCAGGAATAAAGCTGTGGACCTCCTTCTGTGGGGTGGGGAATGATTAGTATTGCAGCTGTTTTGTGAAGAACGAGGCTTGTTTGTTTTCTGCAAGTTCTTTCATTTGGCCACAATCTACGGCTTACTTTGCTGACTGGCCCACTGACATAGGCAACAATCTTGCAAACAAAAGTGTTAGATGAAAGAATTATAATATCTAGGTACTAAATCTTGTTCTAATTTTAAACCAATACATCATTTTGAACAAATCATTGTATCCGAATTGGATCTCAGTTTAGTACAATGTGTATTTAAAAATATATGATATATATGGGTCTATAACAACGTGGTTATAAAATCTGAATTTTTCAATAATTTTAATACTATTTTATTGTTGTTTATAACTTGTCCTGATTTGGAGAGGGGATGAGACAGGTCTGTTAATTCAAGATTGTTAGGAAAGTGAATCACTTATCTAAACATTGGTTTAGTTTGTGGTCTCCCTTCATGTAACTTACCCCCACCTAGTGGTTCAAAGATAAAATTGCAACTCCTACTTAGAGAATTTCACACATAATGTGTTGTAATCAAATCCACTCCCATTCCTTCTTCCCTTTCCTCTACCCTCCCATCTTTGTCTCTCATGTCCATATACTTTTTTTTTTAATCCACGGAGTCCACTTAGTGCTGCTTGTATGTGCATGTATGTAGGCGCATTGACTGGAGTGTAGCCTGTCAGGGGCTGATTTTCATAAGAAAAATGAATCTGCCTCCCCTAGCAGGAATCACTTGGCCACGTCTGCTCAGATGGGATGGGGTTTCATGATTCCCTCCTCTGTCCATGATGGGTTCTTGCATAGCTTGATCTTGAACAGTCTTGTGTATGATGTCATAGCTTCTGTGAGTTCATGTGTGCAGTAGCCCTATCATGTCCAGCAAATAATGTTTGCAGCAGACACCTACTGCATTTTGCTCTTACATTCTTTCTGCCCCTGTCCCACTGTGATGCTTCAGCCTTGGAGGGAGAGCCAAGCACTCCACTGTCTTTTATCTTCTACACATGTACTAGTTGTAGGTCTCTATATTAATCCTCATTAACTGGGAAAAAAAAGATGTTTCTCTAATGAGGATTGAAAGAAGTGTTAATCTATGAGTACAAAGAATTTAGGGGGCAATTTATTGCTATATCTATTTAGGAGATTAATAGTGTTAGATTCTCCTTTAGGGCATGTCCTAACCAGCCCCAGGTTTTTGTCCCAGTTAACCTTACAAAGCATAAGCTTCATTTTGTGGAGTGATCCTTAAAGTCATTCAATGAGGAAGTGTTAGGTACTATGACAATGTTGTGCCAATATTGCACTCACGGACTTACTTCTACCCATTTAATCCTGCTTGCTCTGCCAGCTCCTATCCTGACTGCCCTAAGTGAGGAACGGTGACCTGGGAATTGTAAGATAAAATAAACCCTTTCCTTCCCAAGTTGCAGTGTGGGTCATGGTGTTTATCACAGCAATAGAGAGTAAAGTAAGACAGACATCATTAGAGATGAAAGGCATTCTTAAAGGATTTTCTCACTTCTTTGGCTTCTAGAGTATCAAAATCTATTAATTTTAAGTATTTTCTAACTACTTCTCTAATACAAGCATTTAACTGCAGCTTTCGTTCATTTACTGTATCCCATCAATGTTCATAAACTGCATTTCCATTTTTGTTTGAATGAAAATACTATTGAATATATTTTTGAATAAAAATATTTATATACATGTGTGTGCACATGCACACACCTGTCACTCTCACATGCACAAGTGTACAAGGGTCATGTGCTAAGATGAGAGGACAACTTTTGATGTTTGGTTCCTGCTTTATGCCTTGTTGAGAAAGGGAGTCTCTGTTGATGTGCTTGGAATGCAGGGGTGTGCCATGCATCTGACTGTTTACATGAATTCCAGAGATTGAAGTCAGATCATCAGACTGAGACATCTAGAACCTTTATCTACTGAGCCATCTACCTGAGACTTTTGTGACTCCAGATTTATTTTAAAAATGTTGTCTAATTTATAAATATTCTAGATATTTTTCAGTTAATTTTTGTTATTATTTCCACCATAGTTTGTGTTCTTGCCATGTAAAGAAACATTACAAATTGCGTAAGCCTCTAGCATTGTTGGCACAAAGAAGATTGAGAGAAGATATAAATTACTGTTACCACCCTGACCTGAAGAGTGGAGCCTAAAAATGAGTTGGACTGAAGTCTCATGCAATAGTCAACTTAATTCAGGGTATCAGACAATTTATACTCTTAGGGTATTCTGAAAATAAAGCACAGTCATGTGAGCAAAGTTCACAGAAGTTCAAGCTGTATACAGTCACAGGGTCTAGGTGTGTTCACATGAGTTTAGGCTGTATACAGTCATGAGGACAATTCATGCTTGAAATTTTCATCTAAGTAGCAACATAATGGGTAATCTGAAGTAAACCACTCCTCTGTATTACTCCTGGGAGGGGCACAAAAGCATGTTCCAAAACCAAATCCATACTTAGAAGGAATAGTGGTTATAAGATTCTTGTCTTCCCTTAGAAGCACTGCATGCATGGCTACTATGTCACATGTGTCTCAGTAGGTGGCAGAGAGGAGAGAGGCTAAGCCTACACTCAGTGTTCTGACCTAAGAACATCTGAAAGATTAGTAGCTTAACATTCCCTGACAAAAGAGAGACTAAAATGATCACTGATTCAGTACCAGGCAGGCCTGGATGGGCTCCCAGGACAGGGACCAAGCCACAGACGAAAGCAACTCAACCTGAAACCATAGGCCCCAGGTAAAAGTGAACCTGAGACAGATGACCCTCTCAAAGGACCACTGAGGTGGGCCAGTTAAGAAGTGAGCCTAAGACAACTGCCAGGCTGGTGTTATGTGGCCCAGACAGGGAGCTAGCCTGAGTTGACCACCAGTCCAGTGCCCCATGCTTGACATGACCCTTGGCCAGTGCCATAATGCACCTGGTAAATGAGAGGCAGCACATAAGCCACTGCAAAGCAAGATACGTGATACCATTTATTGAAGAATCATTTTACTATAAAAGCCTGGGCTGAGTATGGTGTTAGGTGATCAGATAGTGAATGTGCAGGTTGCTGCATAGCCTTCATGTGCAGGGTTCCTGTTCTTCCCCTGTTCTACATACTACTTAGTCTAAAATGAATGAGTAGACTAATAACTTTACATTAGTCAACCACTCCGCTGTTTCCATTAACCCTTATCATCACCATGGAATCATACTAAAAATGGCCCAGAAAATATGTCACAGCTCATGCATTGGATATTGATTTTGAAACACTTTTGCATTCCTTTCTTTTCAGCATCCTTAATATGCCCCAGAAGACACAGTTTTTGTATTGCCTGTTAAATTGTGGTTCACTGTGTGAATATTGTGTGGAGTTGGATGCTCACACAACAATAAAAATATTATTGGATCAGTTATGATTAAGGAAATTTGTCCTATGATCATATTTTCTGAACTTTACATACTCAAGTTGATGTCGTGTAATATGATACGTAAATTCTCAAAGTGTCAATTTCTATATTCATAAAATGAAGACAAGAATATGTGAAGACTCAATATAACATAGGAAATGAAGCTGGAGCAAAAACTGGGGCAGAGGTTATGAAAAGTGCTGTGGTTGTCGTTATCCTGAGAAGGACTGGGGAGTATACCTCTGAAAACAGAAAAATAAATCTTTGTGTTACGGGGGGTATAATCTTATAGAGCACAAGAGGCACAAACTGCATAGTGACTCATCAACAATTACAGATACAGTTGCATTTGTGCGCACCAGCCATAAGGTAAGTCATCAAATGCTGGGAATCCTGATGATAGCCACAAATCTACCGTCTTGATCACAGAAAAAATAACAACTGTTATATAATAAACCAGATTCAGACCAAAAAAAAAAAAATCTAGCACTTTTCTCACCACCTTTCACAGTGCTTGAACCAGGAGCCATCTTGAAAAGAATATATTGCTGGATCCTCTCTGGTAGATATCATGAGATAACTTTCATGTCGGCCACGTGGCTGTGGTGGGCACCATGGCCAGTGTTCCCACACAGTGACCAGCAGTGAAACTTGTTCCACATGATTAAAGTAAGTAGAGGATCATAGCTATGAGAGCTCCTGCCACCCCCATGCTGTACCCCCACTTTAGAGACCACAGATGTGCTGTATTTTCCTTTCTCTCTGAGGTACTTGGAAACACGCAGTGGCTTGGACATTAGACCCAGGTGCACATATGAGGGCCTCTGGAACCAGAGACCTTGTGCCCATCCCATATGCCATAAAGTTCCTAAGAATTTGTAGTGCCTCCAGTATTACCCATATCCCTGCCCACAGTCTGAAGGTGCCTTACATATCTCTTCAAAGCTGTTCAGTTAGGGCATCTCTAAGGAGTCAAGCAAAAGCCTTTGGAATGAATACATCCCCTCAAACCGTCCTCATACACCCCATGGGATAACACAGGGCTGGGCTGAGCCCACATACCCTACCACTGCTGAGAGCTAAGAGGAATGATGGCAGATGGTCCTCTCCAACCTTGTTTGTTCAATTAGATTGTTGTTCCATAATTCCTTTTCTTCCTCATTGATCTTGTTACTCTTGTTAATTCTAACTTGTGTGGATCTGTTGCTAGTGCATGGGCGTGGATTCTGTGGGGCTGAGTTGTGGATCCTGCGTGTCTGCCACAGCTCAGGGGGGCAGAAGTGCTGGAATTTGACTGAGTTCACTCCACGTGGCGCCAGGTGGATATCCGGCTGTGAGAAGTTGCAGAACTCTGCTCTGGGCATGGGGAGATCCCAGTCTGAGATCCTGCGGGGGCAAAGCTCCTGGGTTAGGGGTCTCTAGGCTGAGGCGGCTGACCAGAGATCAGCTTGTCTCAGCTGCAGAAGGATTGAGATGGGGGGCATACAGGCTGGGCTGGCCCGCAACCAAGAGGGAGGAGGGAGAGAAGCTCCATCACACCCCACAGGGTAAACACTCTTGGTCATGGTGACTTGCTTGGCTGGGTCAAGCTGGCTTGGCTAGCTTGCTTGAGTTGGCTGGAACATAGAGAAGTCCTCCAGTGGGAGATTAGGCAGCAGCTTGGTAGTTGAAGCTGGTCTCCATGGCCCCCAAAGTACAAGTACAAGTACAAGTACAAGTACAAGTACAAGTACAAGTACAAGTACAAGT